CCTGTCTAGGCCACAGCAGTACTAAATCCACTCTGTGGCTCCTCAGAGGTCAGCCAACCGCTTGCCATCCTGACAGTGAAACACCATAGTCCTTCCCGGCCAGCCCTGCAGTCCCCCAGCCCTCTCCAGAAGCACGGACGCCGCGGCACAGGCGGAGGGCAGAGCCCCCATCACACCCTGGGTAGCTGTCCTCGGCCACTCCCACATGGGCCCCAGCCTCATTCTCAGCCCTCCGGCGACAGACAAAACCCCTCTCTGCCCCTCAGAGAGGCTCACGGACCTTGTGGTGGCAGCGTCCACACTGGCCCTTTGGAACACAGCCTCTCCTTCCCAAGTCGAGGCTCACTGATCACCCCGTGCTCCAGACCCCTGGCATGACCACAGCTCCCGATGGCCCTGACCAGTGCCCACTGGCCCTCTCCAAAACCCTGGCACCCTTCTCCGCCAGTCCCAGAACATACCACATGATCGGGCGTGGCCTGGTGCTGACCCTGTACCACTGTGTGGGGCGGACACCAGGAAGGTGGATTGGACCTGACCTGAGACACTCCCCTTTCCACTCACGTCCTCTGGTCCCTCTGCCGTGGGCTCCTGTCTCAGAAGTCAGAGAACACGTGGCCCCGTGTGGGGAGCCCACCACCTCCCGTGTCCCTCACTGTGTGTCCATCAAGCTGCCTGGCCTGGCAGGACTATAAAAGGTCAGCTCAGCAACCCGCTGGCCAGCTGCAGACTGCGTTCCCGAGGCTTCTTCACGGCCCAGGAGCGCCTCCCAGGCGGCGGGGGTGTGGGCCCCAGGCACCAGGCACCCGAGGGGCTTGTCCACCGTCAGCTGCTCGTCCTTCTCAGCCTTTCACAGAAGGTGCTGGGCCTCTGGAGACTGGGAGCAGATCTCACCCTGGTCATAAGACGCTCGTTTCTCCCACCATGGGCTGGGCACAGGCCCTGGTTGGCCCTCGTGGTGGACAGGCGTGCACATGCCGAGGAGCAGAAAGACGGGAGGGAACAGTTCAGAGCCAACGGCTGGCCAGAACCCGGCACTGAATGCACGGCCCTGGCCCCACGCAGGGCTGCAGCCCAGCAGCGAGACTGGGCTCAGGTCTGGGAGCTGCAGGGCGACAGGGGGAGTCGGGAGCAGGAGGCACCCTGCAGGGGTGAGCCTGGCACCCACTGAACCTGGGTGAAGGGGAATCCGCGCTGAGGGAAGAGGCTGTGCCCGCCCGGTGACGGGACCCAGGGCTCCTTGCTAATGGTCCCTGTGGGGAGGTGGCCCAGGGTTGACCCGTGACCCACACACCAGGCTTTGCTGTCTGTGATCTTACACAGCAGAAGCCGTCCCAGGGGGAGGAGCCATCTAGAAACTCACGCAGTGACGCACGGGCCGCTCCAGGGTCCTGGGAGGGGCGGCCAGCGCTGGCACATTAGATGGCCTGGGAAATGACCACCCGGAGGCAGACCCACCGCTCACCACAGCCCTCGCTGCTCTCCAGCCCCCAGTGCCCAGTTCAGAGAGGAGTCGGAGGGAAAAGGGCACCAAAGACAGAAACAGCTTCGTCTCCTCCTAAAACAGGACAGCCACCGGGCGGGGGATGGTGCTGCTCCCCATCAGGGGGGCACCAGGGCGCTGCAGGCACGTGGCCTCCTGTGTCTGTGATGGCATTGCAGGGACATGCTGTGACGGAGGCTTCCAGTGAGATGCCCGAGACACTCGGAGCCCAGGGAGATGGGCCCATCAGGACAGAGACGGGTCTGCCTCATGCGCCCCGAGCACGGTGGACCTGTGCTGCTGTGGCCTAGGAGGGACTGAGAGCCCAGCCCTGAATGTCACGCTGTGCTCACCTGAGTGGACTAAGGTGGTCTCCTTAACGAGAGTCACTAGTGTGCAGCTCATCGTGCCACGAGCAAGGCTGGCCAATCCTGCCCCGACGCTCCTGGGGCCACAGGAGCCTGCTCTTGCTCTCTTGTGTCCCTGCGGACCTGGGACAGCTTCCCTCAAGGCCACACTGCTTGTCCCTGCTCTGGGCTCTCTGCAGCGTGGCACTGCCCTGCTTTAATCAGGGGGAAAGTGAAGCCGGAGGACACGGTGGCTCGTCGCCACGGAGTTTCCTCTCTGGTGAGCACAGGGCTCACGTCCATCTCTGGAGGTGTAGGTTGGGTAAGTGGGTGAACTTCCACATCTGCAGCCTTGGGGCTTGGGCCCCGGGAGGGAAGGACGCACACTGCACGTGCAGCAGGGAGGACACCGGGTAGGGCACAAGCGGCACTGTGGAGAAGGATGGTGAGCACTACCTGGTGGGCCGGGAGCAACCACACAGCTCATGGTCCCACAGCTCCAAGGTCACACAGCAGAGCAGCTGAGGAGCCCAGGCCTCTCTGGGAACCAGGTGGGGACTCTCAGTGACTGCACATGGGTGGTGGCTAGACAGCGCCTGGGCAGGGCCTCTGCCTCCTGGGGGCTTGCTGCTTGCCCTTCTGAGTGGAGGACGTGCTGCCTGGACAAAGCCCGTCTGTAGTGGGCACTCACGAGGCTGCACTAGCAGAGCTAGCCTCAGCCTGCTAACAGGCCACTGGCCTCAGGAACCTCCGTCAAGGGACAGCGGTAGCTTGCGACCTCAGGCCTGTGCCCTGTGGCCACAGTCGGCTCTGCCGTCCTCAGCCCATCCAGGCAGGGGACAGTCCCCGAGGTCTCAGCGTTTCAGAGCAAACCCTGCTTCCTGCTGTGCCCAGAGGGCTCTGCAAATAGAAGGGCGTGAACCCAGCGCTGGGGGTGCTCCAGGGGTGCAGAGTGGCCAACAGTTAGGGGGCTGGGCTGCTTTTAGGCCCCATCAGTGGATACGCGCCTTTCTCAGAGGGAGTGCCCACCTCCCGGCAGCTGGGTCAGCACCGGAGCTGGTGAGGAGGGCCAGGCCCAGACCCGAGCCCAGGCTGCGCGGAGGCGCCCAGCCCCACACGTCTGAGCTCTTGCGTGTGACAGCAGTTACGTGGGTCCCTCCCGCCGCTGAGCTGGGTGGAATTGGGTGTGTGTGATCTTGGCGCAGGGCCAGGAACTGTTGGCTAAACCCTTACAACACGGTGATCACAGCGTCTTGCCAAGCGGGGGCTGGCAAGAGGGGAAGAGTGGTTTCCTGAGCTAAGTTCAACCCGTGTGCGGAGAAGTCCTCCGAACCCTGGTCACTGCTTTCCCACAGACGTTCCTACCTGAATCTTCAGAGCAGGCCGAGATCAGGACCCCCCAGGCAGACGGCCCATCAGAGTCTACAGGTCAGGTTTCACTGTGGCCACAGCTCGTGGCCATCACTGAAAGGGGAAGAGCACCTTACCTGCAGACCCCAGCATGGGCTGGGGACCAAAGGGCCCCTGGAGCCCCTGGACCAAAGCCAAGAGAGCAGAGGTGCGCAGCGGCCAGCCAGGAAGCCTCTGCTAGCTCTGGGGCCAGGACTTGGAGGGCAGCCTGGCCAGCGCCGGGACATCAGGACGTGTGCGGTGTCCTCAACACGCACCCTGGGCCCTGTGTGGTGCTAACAACCACCCAAGCATGGAGGCCAGGCTTCCTGGGAGCACTGGGCCCGGGGTGGGGTGCTGTCTTCTGCAGCAGAGGGCAAAGGGGCCCAGGCCCAGGTCGAGGGAGGATTGGTCCACAGACCGGGTGGGTTGGGGCCTCAGCTGTGGGTAAGCAGTCAGGAAGGCTGTGCTCCCTCCAGGAGGGCACAGTCGGCTTGAGGTGCCTGCTGTGCCTGCAGCGCCTCTGTCTTCCAGGGGATGGTAATTGCGTTATTTGTGTTCACCAGGCTAGTCCGGCCTGGGGTGGGAGCGGGTGGAAGGGCAGGGATGCAGCCCCCAGGGAGGCAGGAGCCCGAGTGCTTCCTATGGGTGCCTCACAGGCCCTGGGCATGAGGACATGCGGGAAGCAGTGCCATCTGCAGCCGGATGGGCCCTGGTGGACAGATGCACCCACACTCCTGCTCCTTGGCTCTTACTTTGCCAACCTGTTGCACTGACTTGATGCCCGTTCAGGCTGATGACCCGGGGGTTGCTGGAGGCTGGGCTCTGCCTGAGTGGCTCATCAGTATGACGTGTGGCTCAGTGGGCTGAGAGTCAGGGTCTTGCCCCGGATCCTCTGGAGACAGGAGGCAAGCTGCCTGTCGGAGGCCCCCAAAGAAAGCAATGCTCCTGCGAGATGCTTTACCAGAAGAACGTTGTGGGGAAGAGCATGAGTCGCACAGCAGAAGGGACATCAGGGGGACGGGCCACTCTCGGGAACGTGGAGGGTGCACGGAACCTCTCCTGTCTGTCTGGTCCCACGTGGCCCTCCATGGTGCTTGCAGGACAGATGGGCAGCACAGGCTGTCCCAGGGGTTTGTGTGCCCCTGAGGGTGCTATCAGCACCAGGCTGTGGGGTCATCCCAGGTGCGCGGCCAGTCCCTCCAGACCCCGTCCACGTGGACGCCGCGAGGACTGCCGGGAAGCCTCCTCTGCCAAGGTTCGCAAACTCACTCCAGCATGCCAGCTTGCTGCACGGAAGAGCGTCCCCTCAGAGGGCAGCTCGCAGGGCAGGGGGCAGCACCATCTGCATGGCCAGCGACTCCAGGCCCTGGCTGGATGGAAACCCTGGCAGGAGATCCTGACCTCCTTGGGGTGACACTTGGAGACCCCTGAGCAAGGACGGTGGCTGGTGTCATTGTCAAGGCACAGCAGGACGGGTGGGCTCCTGAACAGTTGGCCTTCTTTGCCACCAGTGGCCAGCGCTGGGACAAGGGTGTGCAGAGGGGGCAGGGCACCTGCCAGCCCACAGGGCCCTGGGACCTGCTTTCCCGTGTCCCTCATCCTCTTGTTGGAAGAGAGCAGCCACCAGAGGGAAGCACAAGGGCACTTTCCCACACGTCGCTCACCCGGAATAGACAAATTCAAAACTCAAAGTGAATTTCCCAACCCAACGCGTGTGACTTTTGGGCCTGCCCCAGGGTGACACGTCGGTGCAGCTGACTCTGAGAGTCCCAGGACAGGGAGCCACGGTGCAGCCTGTCTGCTGATACGAGCTCCTCATGTGAACATTTAAGGTTGTGAAGTTATCTGTAGGTGATGGGATTGTCCCCAGCTCCCCAAGAGCCTCTGCACCCATAAGGATTCGGCCAGGGGCAAAGAGGGGGCACCCGAAACTCAAGTTTGTTTTTTACCAGTTACGTTCAGACAGAAAGAGAGACTGGAAAACAGACCTTACTCGTGGCAGTGGTGATAGCGGCAAGACAGGGATATGTTTAGCTGGACAGTGCAGATGCCCAGAGCTGAGGCTCCACGGAGAAATCAGAACAAGCTGACAGACGGAGGTGAGTGGCTCTTGTGAGTGGACAGGCTCAACTGCGGAGCCAGCTGTTGTGGAAGCCACTGTCACACACCGCCACGGAATCCTGATGAGACGCAGGGTGCACATGCATGTGGTGGTGTGTGCATATGTCTAGTGCTCCATGCTCATACGTGTGGTGCTGTGTGTGCTGTGTGCACATGTGGAACAGCGTGGGGTATGTGTGCATACATGTAGTGGTAATGAACGATGCGTGCAACCAGAGATGTGTGGTGTGTGCATACACCCAGCGATGTGTGTGCTGTGTGCATACACCCAGCGATGTGTGTGGTGTGTGCATATGTGTAGCCATGTCTGATATGTGCATATTGTAGTCATGTGTATAGTGCACACAGTGCGTCATCACATGGCATGTGGCATGTGCATATGTGCAGTGGTATGTAGGCTGTGTGTATTTGTGTAGTGGTGTGCATACATGTAGTGGGGCATGGGGTGTGCGCATGCGTGTAGTGGTGCATGGTGGGTGTGTGTACACATGTTGTAGTGGGGTATGCACATGTGTGTATAAGTGCATGGTGGGGGGCATATGCATGTGTGTAGTGGTGCATGGTGGGGGGTGTGCACATGTTGTAGTGGGGTGTGCACATGTGTGTAGCAGTGCATGGCTGGGTGCATGTGCAGTGTGCAGAGGTGCATGGTGGGGGACGTGTGCATGCATGTAGTGGTGCGTGGTGGGGGGTGTGTACATGTTGTAGTGGGATGTGTGCATGTGAGTAGTGGGGTGTGTGTGGTGTGCACATGTGTGTAGCAGTGTGTGGGGTGTGTGCATGGAGCGATGTGTGGTGTTTGTGTGTATGGGGGTATGTATCTAGTTAAGTTGGTTCTGAAAATCATCTGTTCAAGTCCGAGGAGGACAGATGCCCAGGGACAGTCAAGCTGTCTGGGGAAGAGCAGGAGGGGCAGGTGCTGTCAGGACTGGGGTGTATGATGTGGCCTAAGAACGCACAGTTGGTGGAGCAGAGTAGCCCCGACATGGGTATTCCATGAAGGTGGCACTCCAGCTAACGAGTAGGGAGCAAATCATCCAGTAACACTGCAGGACTGAATGCTCTCGTGCTCAGGACTGTGAAAGTGAGAAGTCTGAGAAGACTTATTTTCTCACATTCTGCTGTTGCACCAATAAATTGGTGAAGCCCTTTCAGAAGGTAATTTTGCAATAAAAATGCACAAACTCCATGAGCAGAAAACTCCACTTCTTGTAATCTAAGTTGCAAAACTTATAGCATAAATGTGCAGCTGTCTGAGAGCAGCCAAGCCAGCACTGTGTGCAGGGCAGTGACCAAGTGGAAAAGTCCAACGCAGGGCACATCAGTATCTCACGTTGCCAGGGGTCAGGTGTGTCTGGCCGTTCCCTGTAGTGTGGACCATGTGCAGTGCCCAAACAGTACAAGACCCCTAGGGACAACACCCAGGGCCACACGCCGGCCCTGTGAGGAGCTTTGGCTGGGGGGGCACTGGCTCTGTGGTGTGTACGGCAGGGCTGCCGTGGGGCTGGGCTTGTGTGGGGCCCTGGCCACTTGCTGTGATTTTCAGATTGTGACTGTGGGGGATTGAGGACTCTGTCAAGGGCTCTGGATCCTTCAAGATGGAAACTCCTCCAAAAGACACAGCTGCCCATCAGGGCAGTGAGGAGTAACCAGAGGTCAGTGGCTATGCAAGATGGGGGGCTGCTGGGCCTGGCAGGGCCAGGGCTCACATTAACCGAGCACAGTTGCCCTGGGTGCTGCCGCAGAGTCCATATGTCAGTGGTCTCACTAGAGAGGGAGATGGGGAAGGCCCCCGCCCACCTGCCCCTCTGCTGCTTATCAGAGCTGGGCAGTGGGTGGTGCCTCCCGGGAACGCCTGGTCTCCAGAGCTCTCCCTCCTGTTCACGCTTGCTGCTGAGGCTGCTTGTGGACACGCAGAGGATCTCGTGTCCTCACTGGCCTTCCCCAGGCCCCTGCAGTGGGGATGCGGTCTAGCCTCCCAGGCCCGGCACCAAGCTACACCTAGGCCCCCTGCTGGTGTGGGCGTGAGCCAGTGGGTGTGAGAGGCAGGGGGCTGAGTGGGTTTGCAGGATGCTGAGGGAAGGGTCCTGTCACATGCAGGCAGCCGGCCCTGCCCATTTCCTCAGGAATCATTTACAAGGGCCGCGGACCACGAGGCCTCTCCTGGGGCCCAGTGGGAGGCAGGGAGGGTCAGGATGCGGAGCTGCCCTCTGCTCCAGGGAGCCCACAGCACCAGCTGCCCTTGGCAGGGCTCAGGGGCTATGGCTCCCAGTCCTTCACTCCACCTTCTGCCCCTCACCAGAGTGTGTGCGATCTTGGGCAGCGCAGGTGCTCCTCGACTGTCCCTAAGTGGGCGAACACATCTGCTTTTCTGCCAGCCTCTTACACAGCAGGACTTGTGCTGGGCATCTGCGCCCACATCCCTTCACACCGACCGGGACGAGGGAAGCTGGTGGCTTGCAGAGGTGCTCTCTCTGAGGCACAGCACTCCTTATTCATGGCTTGATGTTTTAAAGCATAGCTGGTAATTTAATAAGTAATCAATGAACACTCCGTTTTAACTTCAAAGCATGACTGGGTCACATCGATCTCGCTGTCACCCTATCTCGGCCACTGATGCGAGTATAAATCCCATCTCTTCTCCTAAAGTGGAGGCTAGGGACCTCAGTTTGGGACTAATCAGCAGTGATGAACTGAAATAAATGAGGTAAGTATTCTGTGTCTCCAGGCTAATGGGCCCTCTGCAAGGTGCCCCATCCGGAGCAGTCTCTGCAGGATGTGCTGCAGATGGCTCGGGCCAGCAGCACTTCCAAGTCACACTTGCAGAGCTGTACCAACAAAACGCCGCGGGTGAGTCAAGGCCACAGGTTTCCACAGGTGTGTGAACTCGCCCTTCACGTGGCTTGCACACGGCAGGCCCTGCTCCAGGTCTGGGTGGCCACAGCCCCCCGGTGAGGCCGCTGCAGCTGTGTCTAAGGCAGTGCTCCTGCACCTTCATGTGGGGGCCTGAACTTCTGCTGGGGACGGCCTCGCAGGGAAACCGCTCCTGACCTTGTGGGTTTCCTGAGTGTGTGTCCTGTGTGCACTGGCCTCCTGAGTGTGCAGTGGCCTCGGGGCTGTCACCAGGGGCCACAGTTCTGCCTGCAAGGCATCTCTGGTGTCCCATGCAGGCCTCTGCATTCCTCCTCTCAAGTGCTGTGTGTGTGGCAGGTGGGCAGCAGGGAGCCTGGGCCTCCAGGGCAGCTCCCCGAGGGCCCGTCTGAGCCCCTGCCCGTCCACTCCATCCTAACCCAAGGCATTCCTTCCAGCGCTCCCTGCGCCCCTCGGAGACATGGCACCCCACTCTGCCCCGCCCAGCTCCTCAGCGCCAGCCCTGCCCAGGTGAAGCAGCTGGCGGTAGCAGGAGCCTCTACTTCTGACCGGTGAAGTCGGGCTGCCTTTGGGTAAGTTGAACAACAGAGCCCTGTCCAAGAGGGAAGCAGCCCCTGCTCCTGAAAACGTCCTCACGGCCTCCCTCGCTCAGCTCAGACCTGGGATTCCACTTCTTTGTCACCTACAGTGTCCCCAGCACAGACCTAAAGGGAAGAACCGGCACCTTATGCATTTTTGTTTCTCATCATGCTGTTTACTGCAACACTGCTCAAGGGCGTGCAGAGACCAGCCCAGCAATGACTGCAGGCAGGCCTGTGGCCCGTGTCAGCACTGCCGTCCGCAGGCCACTCCAGGTCCCCGTGTCCCAGCACCAGCCTCTGCAGGCCACTCCAGGTCCCCGTGTCCCAGCACCAGCCTCTGTAGGCCACTCCAGGTCCCCGTGTCCCTGCACGAGCCTCTGTAGGCCACTCCAAGTCCCGTGTCAGGTCACTCCAGGTCCCCAAGTCCCTTCACCAGCCCTCTACAGGTCACTCCAGGTGCACGGGTCCCTGCACCAGCACTCTGCAGGCCACTCTAGGACCCGTGTCCCTGCACCAGCCCTCTGCAGGCCACTCTAGGTCCCTGTGTCCCTGCACCAGCCCTCTGCAGGCCACTCCAAGTCCCGGTGACCCTGCACCAGCCTCAGCAGGCTTCTCTACGTCCATATGTTTTCACGAGCTCTCTGAAGGTCACTACAGGTCCCCATGTCCCTGCATCAGCCTCTGTAGGGCAATAAAGGTCCCTTTGTCACTGCACCAGCCCTCTGCATGACACTGCACTTTCCCAAACTGAGGACCTTGGTCCTGACCCACTGGGGATGCGACCTAGGAGGAGTGAGCACACACTCAGACCTATACTCACAGAGGACCTTGGTCCTGACACACTGGGGATGGGAACTAGGAGGTGTGAGCACACACTCAGAACTATACTCACTAATGACCTTGGTCCTGACACACTGGGCTGTCACGTGGGAGGTGAGGGCACACTCTCTGACCTCCCCTCAATGAGGACCTTGGTCCTGACCCACTGGGGATGCGACCTAGGAGGAGTGAGCACACACTCAGACCTATACTCACAGAGGACCTTGGTCCTGACACACTGGGAATGGGAACTAGGAGGTGTGAGCACACACTCAGAACTATACTCACTAATGACCTTGGTCCTGACACACAGGGCTGTCACGTGGGAGGTGAGGGCACACTCTCTGACCTCCCCTCAATGAGGACCTTGGTCCTGACACAATGGGCAGTCACCTGGGAGGTGAGGACACACTCTCTGACCTCCGCTCACTGAGGACCTTGGTCCTGACACACAGGGTTGTCACCTGGGAGGTGAGGGCACAATCTCTGACCTCCCCTCATTGAGGACCTTGGTCCTGACACACTTATCTGACACCTGGGAGGTGAGGACAGACTCTCTGACCTCCCGTCACTGAGGACCTTGATCCTGACACACTTATCTGACACCTGGGAGGTGAGGACAGACTCTCTGACCTACCCTCAGAGAGGACCTTGGTCCTGACACACTGGACTGTCACCTGGGAGGTGAGGACACACTCTCTGACCTCCCCTCACTGAGGACCTTGATCCTGACACACTAGACTGTCACCTGGGAGGTGAGGGCACACTCTCTGACATCCCCTAACTGAGGACCTTGGTCCTGACACACATATCTGACACCTGGGAGGTGAGGGCACACTGTCTGACCTCCCCTCACTGAGGACCTTGGTCCTGACACACTGGGTGACACCTGGGAGGTGAGGGCACACTCTCTGACATCCCCTCACTGAGGACTTTGGTCCTGACACACTGAGTGACACCTGGGAGGTGAGGGCACACTCTCTGACCTCCCCTCACTGAGGACCTTGGTTCTGACACACTGGGCTCACAACTGGGAGATGAGGGCACACTCTCTTACCTCCCCTCACTGAAGACCTTGGTTCTGACACACATATCTGACACCTAGGAGGTGAGGGCACACTCTATGACCTCCCCTCACTGAGGACCTTGGTCCTGACACACTGGGCTGTCACCAGGGAGGTGAGGACACACTCTCTGACCTCCCCTCACTGATGACCTTGGTCCTGACACACTGGGTGAAACCTGGAAGGTGAGGGCACACTCTCTGACCTCCACTCACTGAGGACCTTGGTCCTTACACACTGGGCTGTCACCTGGGAGGTGAGGACACACTCTCTGAACTCCCCTCACTGAGGACCTTGGTCCCGACACACTGGTGACACCTGGGAGGTGAGAGCACACTCTCTGACTTCCCCTCACTGAGGACCTTGGGTCTGACACACTGGGCTCACAACTGGGAGGTGAGGGCACACTCTCTGACCTCCCCTCACTGAGGACCTTGGTTCTGACACACTTATCTGACACCTAGGAGGTGAGGGCACACTCTCTGACCTCCCCTCACTGAGGACCTTGATCCTGACACACTAGGCTGACACCTGGGAGGTGAGGGCACAATCTCTGACCTCCCCTCACTGAGGACCTTGGTACTGACACACTGGGTGACACGTGGGAGGTGAGGGCACACACTCTGACCTTCCCTCACTGAGGACCTTGGGTCTGACACACTGGGCTCACAAATGGGAGGTGAGGGCACACTCTCTTACCTCCCCTCACTGAGGACCTTGGTTCTGACACACTTATCTGACACCTAGGAGGTGAGGGCACACTCTCTTACCTCCCCTCACTGAGGACCTTGGTTCTGACACACTTATCTGACACCTAGGAGGTGAGGGCACACTCTCTGACCTCCCCTCACTGAGGACCTTGGTCCTGACACACTGGACTGACACCTGGGAGGAGAGGGCACACTCTCTGACCTCCCCTCACAGAGGACCTTGGTCCTGACACCCTGGGCTCACACCTGGGAGGTGAGGGCACACTCTCTGCCCTCCCCTCACCGAGTACCTTGGTCCTGACACACTGGGCTGTCACCTGGGAGGTGAAGACACACTCTCTGTCTTCCCCTCACTGAGGACCTTGGTCCTGACAAACTTATCTGACACCTGGGAGGTGAGGACACAGTCTATGAACTCCCCTCACTGAGGACCTTGCTCCTGACACACTGTGCTGTCACCTGGGAGGTGAAGACACACTCTCTGTCCTCCCCTCAGAGAGGACCTTGGTCCTGACACACTTCTCTGACACCAGGGAAGTGAGGACGCACTCTCTGAACTCCCCTCACTGAGGACCTTTGTCCTGACACACTGGGCTGTCACCTGGGAGGTGAAGACACACTCTCTGACCTCCCCTCACTGAGGACCTTGGTCCTGACACAATTATCTGACACCTGGGAGGTGAGGACACACTCTCTGAACGGCCCTCACTGAGGACCTTGGTCCTGACCCACTTATTTGATACCTGGGAGGTGAGGGCACACTCTCTGACCTCCCCTCACTGAGGACCTTGGCCCTGACCCTGGGTGACACCTGGGTGGTGGGGGCACAATCTCTGATCCCTCCTCACTAAGTACCTTGGTCCTGACACACTTATCGGACACCTAGGAGGAGAGGGCACACTATCTGACCTCCACTCACTGAGGACCTTGGTCCTGACACACTGGGCTGACACCTGAGAGGTGAGGGCACACTCTCTGACCTCCCCTCACTGAGGACCTTGGTCCTGACACACTGGGCTGTCACCTGGGAGGAGAGGACACACTGTCTGACCTCCCATCACTGAGCACCTTGGTCCTTACACACTTATCTGACACCTGGCAAGTGAGGACACACTCTCTGACCTCCCCTCACTGAGGACCTTGGTCCTGACACACTGGGTGACACCTGGAGGAGAGGGCACGATCTCTGATGTCCCCTCACTGAGGACCTTGGTCCTTACACACTGGGATGTCACCTGAGAGGTGAGGACACACTCTCTGACCTCCCCTCACTGAGGACCCTGTACCTGACACACTGGGCTGTTACCTGGGAGGTGAGGGCACACTGTCTGACCTCTCCTCACTGAGGTCCTTGGTCCTGACACACTGGGCTGTCACCTGGGAGGTGAGGGCACACTTTCTGACCTCCAATCACTGAGCACCTAGGCCCTTACACACTGGGCTGTCACCTGGGAGGTGAGGGCACACTATCTGATCTCCCCTCACTGAGGACCTTGGTCCTGACACACTTATCTGACACCTGGGAGATGAGGGCACACTCTCTGACCTCCCCCCACTGAGGACGTTGGTCCTGACACACTAGGTGTCACCTGGGAGGTGAGGGCACACTCTCTGACCTCCCCTCACTGAGGACCCAGGTCCTGAACAATGGGCTGTCAACTGGGAGTTGAGGACACACTGTCTGACCTTCCCTCACTGAGGACATTGGTCCTGACACACTGGGTTGTCACCTGGGTGGTGGTGGCACATTCTCTGACCTCCACTCACTGAGGACCTAGGACCTGACACACTGGGCTGTCAACTGGAGGTGAGGGAACACTCTCTGACCTCCCCTCACTGAGGAAGTATGTCCTGACACACTGGGCTGACACCTGCGAGGTGAGGGCACACTCTCTGACCTCCCCTCACTGAGGAAGTTTGTCCTGACACAGTGGGCTGACACCTGTGAGGTGAGGGCACACTCTCTGACCTCCCCTCACTGAGGACCTTGGTCCTGACACAGTAGGTGTCACTGGGAGGTGAGGACACACTCTCTGACCTCCCCTCACTGAGGACCTTGGTTCTGACACACTGGTAACACCTAGGAGTTGAGGGCACACTCTCTGACCTCCCCTCACTGAGGACCTAGGCTCTGACACACTGGGCTGTCACCTAGGAGGTTAGGGCAGACTCTCTGTCCTCCCCTCACTGAGGACCTTGGTCCTGACACACTAGATGTCACCTGGGAGCTGAGGGCACACTCTCTGACCACCCCTCATGGAGTACCTTGGTCCTGATACACTGTGTGTCACCTGGGAGCTGAGGGCACACTCTCTGACCACCCCTCACTGTGGACCTTGGTCCTGACCCATTGTGTGTCACCTGGGAGGTGAGGACACACTCTCTGACCACCCTCACT